CTTTCTTTTTACCACCATGCTTGCTCTGCACTTTCTTTGGAGCCATGCTGGATGTACTAAAAAGCACACCAAAAAGCTTCACAGCAAGTGTCTGTGACCATGATCTCGCCTAGAGGAAGCCACGACCACGTGTCAGAGCAGGGAAGATGGCCGCGGGTCATGTTCGTCACCCGATCCGGAGTTCGCGAATGGAAGCAAAATTTTGCGACTGCTGCTGTTCGCGAACCGAATTGTTTGTAAACAGAAGCGTTCGTGAACTGAGGTATCACTGTAATATGATTAGGTTCAGTTTAAGATTTAAAGTGCCTTTTTTCCTTTAAAGAAGAAAAGAAATCTAGATGAAGAAGGCTACCTAGATTTACAATGACTAGATAACATTTATGTTGTAAATGTCTTAATGTTTTTATTTAAGATGGACAAAGATAGATAATGTGCAGATGACAATGTTTAATTCCATTACATTAGTAAATTAAAGTAGCACCAGAAAGACATTGAGATTGGTCTGTCTCAAATCTTTTGCAACACCTTGTTTTCCATTTCTGGTCTCAAAGTTCACCCCTGCCCTGGGAATCCCTTATGATCATTCCCTCTAATTGTATTTGTTTATAAAAGCAAGAGGAAATGTAAGCTGGAATAATAAAAGGAGCTTGAGGCCTATTGTGGTGACTAAATTCACAAAATGTTATTTTCATGTGTAATTATGGATTATCATTTTCACAGTTAGTAATTTGCATTGAAGTTGAGATAATTTAATAATTATGGGTTGTCATGTGCAAACTCATCTCACACTTCTGTTATTTGATTTCAGGATGATAGCATTTCCTCTGCTGCTAGAAGTTTCTTGCAAAAATTACTATCTTTGAAATACTTGAGCGAATGTAGTTTTGAAGGTTCTAGCTGTGGTTGTGTTTTTATGAGTGTCTGTTTGTGTGTACACATCTTTGTTGACTGTTCTGTCTTTTTAAAGCACTATTTAAAATGCCAGTGGATAAAAACATTCTGGAGAGAGGAAATTCTCCAGAAATTCTACAGCTTTCAGTCAAAGTACCTTTTGGCACTCACTCAAATACCTTTTACATTTGTTGAGCAAGTGCATTCATGCATTTTGTTTATATATGAAACCTAAATTTAATGGACCAATTGCAGAGAAATTATGTCTGTGTTATCCCTGATTGTCCACCAAATCTGAGAATATGTCATTGTGGTAATCTACATCACTTGCATGGTAGCATAGTTACAAAATGACACAGATTTCTGTCAAGATTTGGTCTGTTCTATCAAGGTCTGGTAATCAAGCTTTCATTTATTAATACCTGGCAATCAACACTGTTCTTGCTTATTTTAAACGTTTTTTTTCCTCAAATGATGAATAGCAATTCTTTCTTACCTGCAGCCAAACAGTCATGATAGCATGCATAAGTCCTTCAGACAGAGATTTCATGGAAACGTTGAACACTTTAAAGTATGCAAACCGAGCAAGAAATATCAAGAATAAGGTGATGGTAAATCAGGACAGGGCTAGTCAGCAGATCAGTGCTCTGCGAAGTGAGATTACTCGATTGCAGTTGGAACTCATGGAATATAAAACGGTAATATTTGTTGGGATCTGTTCCTTTTTTTTAAGCAAATTTATTATCTTTGCTTTAATGTAATGTGAATAATTACACTTTGAAACTCCACATTTGTCCCCCCCCCCCCAAGTGGTACAATGAGTTGCCTAAGGAGTGGCAGACAGGTACTATATGCTTACCCAGTGCACACCAATGCACCTTTTATCTTTGAATCCAAACTTCTGTGTAATACTAATTTATGCATGTTTCTGTCTGTTAAAAAGCTCGAGTTGCAATGAAGGAAAGTTTACAATACCTGCATTCAGAGCTAGCAGAAACAAAAATACAGGTAGTGCTCGTTTAGTGACTGCCTTGTTTAGCAATTGTTTGCAGTTAAGTCAGTAATGAAAAAGTAACTTTACAACCAGTCCTTGCATTTACGATCTCTGCAGGTCTGTAAAGCAAAGGAAAGCTGAAGTAAGATTGTAAGCACAGTCACAGTTTCACTTAACTGCCACTTTGCTTAACAACTGAGTTGATGGTCCCAATTGTGGTTGCTAAACGAGGACTACTGGTATGTTCCAAATTCTCATCATGAGTGTATTGCATAATGTAGTCAGATTCAAACATGATTGCAAGTTTAAGAATTGCTGTTGGCTGCAAAACCTCTCATGCAAGCCACAAAGGCTTTCTCGTACTTTTTGAAGGCAGCTCTGGGCATCCAACATAGATGCAAACAACACATTCTTAACAATGAAACAGATACTTTAAAAAGCATTGCTTTAAACGACATATTTACAAACTGCACCGGGGTAGAGAACCACCAAGATAACATTGGAGAAAGAATGTGATGGCAGTTAACAGAACATCAACTAAGTCTGGGAAGGAAAGAAAGTATTAGAAAGAAACTTAAAGTGACAGACAGCGCTTTCAAGGTTAAGACATTCAGCTGTAATTTGATTCTTGAATATATCCAATCAAAGGCAGTAGTGTCTGTGGAGTCCTTGGTGCTCTCTGAGCTTGCAAACAAACAACCAAGCTCAGAGAGCACCAAGGACTCCACAGTTTGACCCTGAGCTACATATATTCTCTTTTATTTGGAACAGTAGCATCTAAAAGATTACAAGAACCTAGAGTACATTAAATGTATTCATGGATTTAAGTTTGGTATTTTCTGATATTGAATAACCTGAATTGGTTCCATTATAGACAGATAATTGAGAAAGCCTTGAACTTGCACAATGATTGTCATAATACTACAGGTAGTCCTCGGTTAACCACCATTTGTTCAACCATTTAAAGTTGCGACGGCACTGAACGAATGGTACTTGCAACTGGTCCTCAAAGTTCTGGATGTTGCAGCAACCCCGAGGTCACACGATCGTGATCCAGGCACTTGGCTACTGACTCACACTTATAACAATTACAGTGTCCCGCAGCCATTTGATCACCATTTGCAAGCTTCGCTGCTGACTTCCCACAAGCAAAGTCAATGGGAAAGCCGGCAGGGAAGGCCGCAAGTCATTTTTCTCCCAAGGAGTCCTGCTACAGAGTATGAAATCCCAGTAGCACACGCTTGTGCCACAGCACCCTCTTCCCAGCCCACACACTCTTGCATGGTGCTGTAGCACCCTCTCCCCAGCCTGCATACACTTGCTGCAACACCCCAGCATAGTACTCACCCGCCCACTGGCTTGCTCGTGAGCCGCCCAGCACTTGTGACTTCCTGCTGGCTTCCACATTGACTTTGTTTGTGGGAAGCCAGGATGAAGTTGCAAGTTGCGATCATGTGAGGTCCTTGCTTAACGACCCATGATCCTTGCTTAACAGCAGCAACAGAGACTGCCAGGATTGCTGTTACTAAGCAATGCAGTCATCTGACAATCACACTTTACAATTGCCTTGCTTAGTGATGGAAATTGTCTCAGTTATTGTTGTTAAGTGAGAACTACCTGTATCATGTCATGTAAGAGTACTTGAGCAAAACATGATCAGTGAGAAAACAGTGGAGATTTCTGAATAATAAATGCTGAATGAGCTTAAAGAAGAATAGCACTTTGGAATTTTGTAAGAGTTACAATAGTAACAACTTTAAGATTATTTTATTATTTTATTTATTTTTATGCCATTCTTTTTCATGAAGGAATCCAAAGCGATGTAGTTGTACATCAATAAAATGCTGCCCTCATAAGACAATATAAGTAGTAAGAATACAGCAAGTAAAGCAAGAGAGCCAGTTTGGTCTAGTGGGTAAGGCACAGGCTAGAAACCGGGAGGCGGTGAGTTCTAGTCCTGCCTTAGGCACAAAGTCAACTGGGTGACCAGCCAGCCCCTCTCTCTCAGCCCTAGGAAGGAGGCAATGGCAAACCACTTTCAAAAATCTTGTCAAGAAAACTGCAGGGACTAGTCTAAGGAGTCAAGACTGACTTGAAGGCACCTCCCCCCCCCAAAAAGGTAAAACAAAGGTCATTTAAAAGGGAGCCTAAACGATGATGTGAAGTAGGCATTAATTTGCAAATGCCAAAGGGAACAAGCACATCTTCAGTTACTGTTTAAATAAAACCAGCATGGAGGCAACCTGTACTTTTCTTAGAAGACATTCCCATAACTAATACTAAATGTCTTCAAATTATAGTTCTGTATTTGAAAATGATACTCCCTCAAAACAGCTCAGGCATCCGATCCTTCAGAGAAGTTCCTTAATGTTATATAAGATCAAAAGTCTGTAAAAGTTTGTGAAGCTTTCTGACTAGCTTCACTGAAGCTGAGCAGGACTAGGGATGTTTGAAGCATATATCTTTTCTACTTTTTAACTGTACAATAATGAGAAGACTTCACAGCTATATGAATTATATTTTAACATATCTCTGTATTCCAAAGAAACTATAATTTGGTGTTCAGAACTAGGCAAGAAACTACATTGACAGTTTTCCTGTTTTTCAGAAGAAATCTTAAGGTTAACCCTTGGCATGTTTGAGGAATATATATTTTTGTATTTAGGGTAAAAGGATTATTGATGAAGAAGGCGTGGAAAGTATTAATGACATGTTTCATGAAAATGCCATGCTGCAGACAGAAAACAATAATCTGCGAGTCAGGATAAAGGCAATGCAAGAGACTATAGATGCTCTCAGAGCTCGAATCACACAGCTTGCAAGTGATCAGGCCAACCAGATCCTTGCCAGAGCAGGTAATGTGTACTTTTATCACTTAAATTGCTATATGAGTTAAGGTCTGTAAGAAATGCTAGTTGTTTGCTAGAAAAAGGAAAGAGTTTAGCTTTCTATGCAATTAGCAATTACGTGAATGTTGCTTTTAAAGTAAATAGCTAACATGGGAGGGAGAGCTGAAACTGGGATTCTGGAGAAGATGGATGGTATTTTTATCCTTTACTCAATATGGGCTATGAACATTGGAAAGAAAGCTCCTGTTTGGGCCAGTGGAACTTTTCCTTCCACTGCAAATAACAGGTATGATAGTCTAGATTTGAATGATGCCTTTCTGCTCAGGCCCCAAAACTGTACAGGATACTGTTGAGAAGAGGGCATATTCATTGATTGTTAATTGCCTGTGTGCGTCAACATATTACTGACCAACATTTCATCCAGGATGATCATTTCATGACACTCTGTTTATGAACTATTTCCTAGCTGTAGGAACATTATTTCATAGTGTTACAAAATGCTACAGTTTCTGGTGCTCTTATTAAGATTTAGGATTCCTATCTTAATTGGGTTAGTAGGGTTCATATTATGATTGCTGTAAGGTAGTCTTTAAGTCATTTGCACCTGTTTCAAATATTCATGTGTTTACAAGATTTAATTGATTTGCAAATTCAGATCCAAAAAGTTGTTACTGATACTTTGCTCAAATCTGGAAGGTAATACATAGAGAAGGTGAGAGGAAGAGGAAGAGGAAGGGGATTCTCTCCGTACTAGTCTTGTCTGATAACAAATTAGACATTTGGAAAACTTCTGAATTTTTTTTAAAGATTAAGAATGAGCAGTATCTGCCTTAATGTTTCTCAACCTTGGCCACTTGAAGATGTGTGGGCTTCAACTCCCAGAATTCCCCAGCCAGCATGCTAGGGAATTCTGGGAGTTGAAGTTCACAGATCTTCAAGTGGCCAAGGTTGAGAAACACTGGCCTTAACTGTCAGAATTAATATTGTATTCATTTAGTACCCCATAATAATGAAAAGAGAGGCAGTCTTTCCTAATTAGCATGTTCCAGATGTATAGACTTCCACCCCCAAAATTCTTAGCTGTGGCCATGCTAGATGGGAAATTCTGGGAATAAAAGTTCACTTGCCTCATCACACAGGTTGAGAATGGCTGATATAGGTACAGAGTTACAGCATGGCACCTCTCAGGATTGCTCTCATTTGATCATAATTTAACTGGAACATTCAGTGCCTAAAAACTCTTAATTCTCATACATAAAGACAAGTTTGAGGCATTCTTTATTTTGTGATCTTCTGTGCTTGGTTTCACAACTGTCAGGTCTACAGTGTTCAAACTCCAATACAGACAAATCTCTTGAACTCCAAAGTAGATTCAGAAAAGATTTCATTTATTGAAGGATACATGCAGCTCTAAGCAAAGCATTGCTAAAACTAAAGCCCGTGTAATTTTCCCTCTACTTTTACCCCCCTTGTCCCCCTTTCAATCTAGGTGCCACTTTTAGTTTTCACAGAGAACTTGTGCATTCCTAGCCCCAATAACGCGTCTTTTTACTGGCCTTCAATCTTCCTCCAGCTCTGTCTTCTTTCACTCCCCCCTCCCTCACCAATGAGAATGGCAGAATCAAAGCAAGCTAAGAAAACATTCCCTATATATAAATGGCATTTATTATGCAAATAAAACAGTCCTCTAGTTGAATATATTTTGATTGCTGCAGATTCTGACAACAACAGACACCACTAGTTTGCCTTATTTCACAATTTTATCATTCCCAAACTAACATTACTTAGACCTTACAAAGCATTTGGACAAACTAGGACTTCTTTTTCATATATTCAACAAATTCATTCATTCTTATGCATATTCAGTAACTTTATTATTCAAATTCCTATGTTTTCTTAGCATTTAATTTGCCTTTTGCCATTTTATATGGATTAATATAAAATATTAACCTTAAACATTAAGTGCATCTTTTTTGTCCATCTTGCTTGTCCTGCATTATGTAACTACAGATACATCAACTATTCATGGCAGATTTGTTGTTGTTTAGTCATTAAGTCGTGTCCGACTCTTCGTGACCCCATGAACCATATTG